CAATTATGTGATAAATCCTTTAGACAGAGTAATGCTTTGGCGCGACATGTGACCACCCACACAGGTGAGAAGGGCTTTTCCTGTCCCACCTGTGCTAAAGGTTTCTCACAGAGGAGTCACCTGAGGCTCCACATGAGGACGCATACAGGTGAGAAGCCGTATCCCTGTGAGCTGTGTGATAAATCGTTCAGCCTTCGCAGTCACCTGGCCTGTCACATGAGGACTCACACAGGGGAGAAGCCTTTCCCTTGTTCGCTGTGTAAGAAGTCTTTCAGGCAGAGTGGTAATCTGGCTCGCCACGTCAAAACACACACTGACGAAAAGCCCTTCTCATGTCTGACATGTGGAAAAGGTTTCACCAAGCAAATGAAGCTGGCTGTGCACATCAGAACTCATCTGAGTGAGAAGCCATATCCCTGTGAGTTGTGTGAAAAGTCTTTTATTCAAAGAAGCGATTTGGCTCGCCACCTCCGGACTCACACTGGTGAGAAACCCTACCCCTGCTCATGGTGCCAGAAATCTTTCAGCCAGAGTGGGGATTTGGCTCGGCATGTAACCACTCACACAGGTGAGAAACCTTTCTTCTGTACGACTTGTGCAAAAGGTTTTTCCCAGAAGAGTCATCTGGTCCGTCACATGAGGACTCATACCAGGCAGAAGCTGTTCTCCTGTCCCACTTGTGGAAAAAGTTTCACCAAGCAAAATAAGTTGAATGCGCATATGGAGATTCATGGCGTGGGGAGTCTCTCTTTGCTAGATCAGACTAAACATAAGAATCTAAGCAGCACCACTAACATTTAAGTCTAAAAGTTTCACTTTCTTCTCTGTTCTGAGTTCCACTGCCATCTAGTGGATGTCTAAAGGAATGATAAAGTGTAAGGTCTCTTCAGATGCTGTAATATTATTCTTTGTTTTCTGAACAGTTACCCGGTGTCATTATTGGACTAAGAATTAACTTATTAATGATTTAACTTCACTCGGTTCTGATCAGATGGACTTTAACAAGTTTTCAGTCTAAACATTATACTCAGTCTTTTCCTGAACCGTTTGCCGTTTGAAAACCGTTTCTAAAATAAATATTCCACCCCATCAATTTTTTTACAGAGCCTCAGAACTGACATGGGAGAAAAATAAGATGCGCACGGAATACTAATTTACTCCCACAAAATATTAATTTGTCGTCATAAAATATTTATTTGTTCACACAAAATGCTAATTATTTCTCACAAAATATAAATTTGTTGCCATAAAATATTAATTTGTTCACGCAAACTGCTAATTCGTTCCCATAAAATATACGAAATGCGAATTTGTTCCCACAAAATATTAATTAGCTCTCACAAAATAAAAATTTGTTGACTCAAAATGATAATTAGTTCCCACAAAATATACATTTCATCACACAAAATGCAGATTTGTTCCCACAAAATTTAAATTTGTGGCCTTGAAATACTAATTTGTTACAATATTAATTTGTGTCCACAAAATACTAATTTGATCCCACAAAATATTGATTTGTTACCACAAAATACTAATTTCTTCCAATAGCCATGGTCCTTTCCAGAGCCTTGTAGTTGTTCAACAATAAAGTCTATCCCAGTATCCAAGTTGTATAAAGCGACCTGGCTCTTAAAAGTCTAAACGAATACCTCCCACTAATGAGAATTCCTTGAGACATCAAACTTCTCAGAATTTCTTTGTAGCTCATCCCCGGCTTAAAATAAAACTTGATCAGGCTATGTCTGTTCATCACATTTTAATTGCTTTGAGAAGGTGTGGTGTGTGTAGGAAGGGGGAATTTTATTTAATTTTTTTAAGATTTTAATACACGTGTTTTAATTTGCACCACTTGTTTTAGATCAACTGTAGAAAACTGAATGGGCATTTTTGATGTGCAACTCACAGAACGCAATTTGTGTACTTTTACTCCAGTTTCAAGAGGTGTCATTTTTGTTGTATTTGTGACATATATATATATATATAAAAATTCTACAATTACAAAACAGAGGTACAATGCACAAATAGCTTTGCAACAATAGTTCTGGACCATTTGGAGAAAAACTGAGAAAGTAAGAGGTTTTTGATGTACAACTTGTCGAACAGAATGTGTGTACTTTTACTTTAAATTTGAACAGGTGAGAAAAAAATTGTTCCTGTGAATTGTTTTTTAAATATTCTCTTCTTAGACTGTAATTCTCTCTACTACTTCAAATGCATACTTACAATGCACAAATAGGTTTGAAACAAAATAACCTTCATAGGAACAAATAATATTTGGTGGCAACAAATTAGTATTTTATGGGAGCCGATTAATATTTTGTGGTAACTAGTATTTAGTGGGAACAAAATAATATTTTGTGGGAACAAATAAGTGTTGTGTCTGCATGCTGTATCTCTATCTTCTCCCATGTCAGTTCTTGGTCTCTGTCATTTCTGTAGGTGTTTTTCAGAAAGTTCTGGTCTAAATGTTTAACATCCCTCTTTGTCTCCATGTAGATGTTTGTGAAGAAGTAAAGCCAGTGATTAAACTTATGCTATTGTTTTATTTATCTTTTACCTTACTTCTAACTTTTGATTAGCCTTGGCAAACATTCTGAACCCAGCAAAGCTGAATCTTTAGTATGGGGATGCAAATGTTTTGGAAATTATTTAGAAAACAATAATAAAATAATTAACTAAATTCTCTGGTTTGGAAAACAGGTATTTTATGGTCCTAACATTAAGATTCAGGGAAATTCTGATTCCAGTAGCTTATATAGAGTACAAAGGGCAGAGTTAAAGCAAGATGCCATTAGGCATAAAAATACAACAGAAAATTGTATGAACTGTATATATACAGCAAATTTAAAAGTGTTAAAAAAATGGTGTTAGTAGACTTTGTTCAAAGACAGTGTTAATTTAACTCTTAATAGAGTTATATTGTACAAATATAACTCTGAGGTGTCACATGTTATTAGTTAAAATTGAGTTCCATAATAAATCTGGAGGCGTTAAAATGGAAAAAAATAACTCTTTGTCCATCAACTCTGAACTCCTATAGTGGAATTGACACCCAAAGAGAACATTCACTGACTGCCTCCAATGCTACAGGTACCCAACAAAGCTGAGGAAAACTTTACTCTCCATTCTGCTCTCATACAGACCAGTTTACCCAGCCTGGTAAATCATTTCTCTCAGATGGTTTACATTTTTTATTTGTTTTCTAACTCGTTTTTTTGAGTCAAGATAGAGCCGTGTGATAGACATGAGCCACATTGGTTTGGTGAAAGTTTAATCATGTTTAGCTAACATGTAATCTTTGTAACTATAGTGTTGAAAAAAGGGTTTGTAGAGGAATATTTTATGTATTTTTTGGCTAAACTCATCAACATCGACACACCTAAAAGAATGATTTGGGAAATGTTATTGTGAACACATGGAGCTGCGTGAATCCCGATCTATCAGAAGACTGTCTCCCATAAAAATCAATGCAGCAAACGGCGGTTTAATTGGAGAAATGAACCTCCTCTGCAGTGCATGAAAATATTTTTTTGTTTAAATTTAGTTCTCTTCTCTATTGAAGTGGAAATTGGCAAAGGTTCCACATCGTTACATGTTTTGAAACACATTTTCCAATTGTAATGCACTTTTGAAATAAATATTTGCCGAAAAAAAAATTGCTTCTTTATTTATTAATTTTTCCAAAGGGATTTTTATATGTTCAGAAAAGTAAAGTTTTTAGTATCTAGAGAATAACTCCTATGTAGTTAGAAAAACATTCCAGGAGAGTGTTAATATTTCAATTCTAACACCTAGTTGGTGTAATTAAGTGTTAAATTATCAACTCCAGAAAGATTTATTATTTAACGCTAAATAAGAGGTACAATGCCAACTCTCCAAAAAGAGTCAAATTAACCCTCACTGGTGTGGACCCATATAGACACTTCAAGAGTGTTAAAATCAAATCTGACAGTGTTGATTTAAGCTTGTTGGATTTGCTGTGTAGTACAAAAAAGCATAAGTTTTTAAGACCTCTCGCATTTAAAAACATTATAGATAAGGACAGAGAGGTGCGATTTTGTATAGCGGAAGAGTAATCAAGCTTATTGATAATTTGACTAAAGTGCAAAGCCAGGATTTAAGTGGTGAATCATTTGTGAAGCTTTATTTAACCAAGATGGTCTGAGTGAGATTAGAACCTCCTTTCTAAGGAGCTCCTGGTCATCATGGCCACAAGAGATGGTGAATATCAGTCCAGTTAAATCCCAGTCTAATTACCCCGATGGGCTGAGGTCCTGTAGAAAAACCGATGTCATGACTTCTGCTCAGTGTTGTATTGTAACGAAGTAAAAATACTTCACTACTGTACTTAAGTATATTTTGGAGTACTTTATACTTTCCAAGAATATACATTTTTTTGAGAACTTTCACTTTTACTTCACTACATTTACGAACTAAATTGCATACTTGTATTCCGATACATTTTCAATGTTTGGTTTAGTTACTAAGTAAAAAAAAAAAAAAAGTGTTTTGACCCCACCTACCGACTACAAAGTCTGGTCTTGCCTGGGCTTGTTCATCAACACCAATAGGATACACCTGTTTTGCAAAGCCAGTCTAAATTTTGATTGTGTATATTATTATTATATTAAGTGAATTTAAACTTCAAAGTTTACCAAAATGTAAAAAAAAAAAGTCATTCAAACTGCACTTACTTTTACTTATACTTTTCACTACATTACTTGAGTACATCTATTTTTACAGTAATTCTTATACTTAACTACAAGCCATTTCAGATACTTTAAGACTTTTACTCAAGTAACATTTCAGTCAGTGACTTGGACTTTTACCAAAGTCATATTTTGGAGAGGTACTTAGACTTTTACTTGACTCCGAGATTTCAGTACTTTATACAACACTGCTTCTGCTTTTCCAGAGAGCTCAATCTCAATAAACACCTTCTCTACTTCATAGTTTAGATGCGTTTCCACCTCCAGCAGGTGGCGGTAACGCCAGAACGAGCCACCGGAAGTGCCACCGGAACTGCCATAACATAGCCACATATCGAGCTTAGTTAGCCCTGCTGGAGAAATCGAAAGAACAAGGTGGAGAATGAGGGACAATTAGTAGTTGTTTCCTCCTAAATGAAAGATTTCCTCACATCACATCATATGTTAAGTGCTGACAATACATTGGCCGTCTCTCTTTCACACTTTTTTTTCCAGATTTGGCAGAAAATATTCGGCCTGATAGAAAGAGGTTAGCCTTCGAGCTACCAGAAGCTAACCCTCTGTGGAAAAGCAGCAACGAGTTTCCACCTATGAAAAAAACATCAAGTGAGATGGGAACCGGAGCACAGAAAGGTACTGGATATCCGACTGTTTCCTGGAGTTAGAAAGCAGATAAGCAGCCGGTCAGAGGATCGTTTGTGACGAATGCTAAGTAGCTAGTAGCTACATTGATATGGCTTGTGATAGGGGTTCAGAGCAGCAGATCAGGGCCAATGATCTCTATTTTTTCAGATCAGTGTGTAGGACTCAATCCCAAACCGTCCATTAAACCATAGACATCAATAAGTAGTCATGTTAGTCTGTTCCAAACATAAGAACAAACCTAGACCTTTTTTTGAAGAGTCACTGAGAAACGTTTCCAGCTCACCAAGTCACCTGACCGCTAAGAGCAACTCTCGTTGCTTCACACTTTGCGTCGAGCTTCATAGTTAAAAAAATTAACTCGAATCATCTGACCGTTTCAATACTACTGAGTGTTTAAATGCAGCAGGATAGCGGCTCAAACCGCAGGTTTTTACCGTTTTCAGTTTTATTTAAAGGCAGGGAAAGAAATTTTATGTTAAGTCGAGTTTAGAATTGATTCAGAATAGTTCTCTTCAAGCACATAATCTGAATGATCTAAAATAATTAACACATCTCTACCCACAACAGTCATCCACTGATTAATTTATAACAGATATTTATTCACATCTAAACAGTAATTGATGCTTCTCCTTTAAGGCGACCATCTTCATGTGTCAGAACCATGGCAGGAAGGTGGAGAATCTGTGGGAACTACTGGGCAGCAGAGTTGCTTCCAATCATTTAAACTGTCGGTTCTATTTAAAGGCTCATTTATTGATGTATTTATAAAGTTGTAGTTGCAGCACTAGGGCTGCAACTAACGATTATTTTAAAAATCGATGAATCGGCCGAATATTTTTTCGATTAATCGATGAATCGGACAAAAAATATTTTTATATTAACCTCTTTATTTCAAAATAAACATTTTAGACAGAACAAACAAGCACACAAGTACAGGATGCTCATTAACTGTACTGGTGCAATATGAAAAATGTTTGTGTTAAAACTACGCAAACTTACATGAGAAATGTAGCTGTACATCCACAAAATATAGGCTACTTTGTTTCATAAAGCGCAAAAAAAAAACAGGCATTTTTTGTTTTTAAAAGCCCCTAAGGCAGGGATGTCAAACTGGTTCCAGAAAGGGCCATGTGGCTGCAGGTTTTCTTTCCAACCAAGCAATAGCACACCAGAGCACTCCATTCATCTCATTAAGTCATCATGTTGACTAACTCAAGACTGGACTCACTTGATGAGATGACTGGAGTCTGGTGTGCTATTGCTTGGTTGGAAAGAAAACCTGCAGCCACATGGCCCTTTCTGGAACCAGTTTGACACCCCTGCCCTAAGGGGTTCAAACAATAGGCCCCCCCATTTCAACAAATTATTATTTTTTTAGACTAGAAGAGTTCTGCCTTTTAAGACAGGAAAGTATAACAGTTAAAGTTGCTACTTGAGAAAATACTGAACCATAGAGATAAAAATAGCCCTGTGATTCAAATTATAAATTGTATTTGGAATAAAAATGAGAGAACCAGGGGTGCTAAAAAACACATCATCCAAAGACAGATATTTACATGGGAATGTGGCAGATAATTAATTGACATATTACTGATCTTGCTGGATTTTATTCTGCTTTACTTCCATAAATTGCAGGATCTTCTTTACTTTATCTTTGCCAGAAGATTTAAACTTTAAAAGCCTTGCCCTCATAATTTGCAAGTTAATTTATTTATAAAGAAAATATAAACACTGCTTAAGCTAATTCAAATGAAATTAAAAGTAAAATAAGTAGCCAACCTTATCACTGTCTGTAACCTACTAACACGGTAAGGAAAGCATCAGATGAGCTACCTGAGAAACTAACGTTACGTTTCCCCACTTTAAAACCAAACAAACATGGTGGTTCCATGCCATGTTAATTTGTTTTGCCAAAAGTCGCATGTTACGACTTTTTTAGTTTTACAAAGCGCAGGCTATTTTAATTATTGTGATCAATTTGCGCCGTCAATCCCGCCGCATGCGAGCTTCATTTGCAGTTTGGACGCTGAGGGTAAACATCCTCTGACTGCAGCGCTGAGAGGGACTCCTGCGGGAGAACGGGGTTGGGATGGGGGAGGCGCCCCACGGCAGAGTAGGAACGATACATGCTTTCGCGTAAGAGTCTCCAAAAAGTTGGCAGATTAGTCGCTTTTTTGAAAAATAGTCGCTGGAGGGGTCTGAAAAATCGCTGAGTTGGCAACACTGCACCTGCGGTGCTGGCTCGCTCTGCCGTATTTTTTTTTTCGTCCCCTGGTTCAGTCAAGTGGATGTGATGACGGCGCGCGACACAACAAACCGATGATGAAATTTGTTGCCAACGCTTTTAAAAGTCAATTTTATCGATTCGTTGTTGCAGCCCTATGCAGCACACTCAAATATTATGTGGAGAAGTGTCCTATTTAACATAAATTTGAACCAAAAACCCCAAAACAAAATAGATTTTAACTTGTGAACTCAAAAAAACCCCAATTTATACGTTGCCTGAAAACCAGGATGAATTAGAATTGACCACTCTGTCACATAGATGTTATTCATCAGAAGAGCTGATTATCATGTTGCAATTTCACAGTTCAGACCTTTTTTTTTAATTATTTCCATAATCTTTACTAATACTATTATTATGGAACAAACAAGTTCAACCATGAAATAATGCAGACATAGGATATCTGCTCAATTGTAGTTCTTATTGCATCCAGCAGATGCTGCCATTCTAAACTGTATTGGCCAATTGTGTCAAATTGGTTAATTGTTTCACGGAGCTTTGAAATAGCCATCACTATTAATACGTCGGAAATAGAGCACAGAGTAGATAGGAGGAATGTTATTTTGGATATCTGAAAGTAACTGCCCAATACACTGGAATGGAGGGAAGTGACATAATTTGTACTAGTAAGAATTACTTTTCAGATATTGGAAATACTTATCCGGTCAAGCAAATATATGTTAAAAATGGTCATTTAAAATAAGTAAAGATTTTACCTTATACTTCAAATTTTACTCCAGATTACTTAAAATGTAATTTCTACGGTTAGAAATGTAATTAGTGATAGCTAAAGTACAATTCTGACTAGGAATATTTTAATTGTGATTTGGTAGAATGCTTTATTGCTATCTACAATAGAAATGTGAATTGTAGGTTGTCTAATTTATGTTAAAATAGAGGCCCGTTATTTTTTTTGTTAGGCATAATTAAAATGTACATGTCTGGAATCCTAATTTAACTAGTCTTGAAACAAGCAGTTGATATCTGTAATGACATTTCTATAGCAGAAATATATTTTGTCAAGATTTTGATTTGTTATCTAGAATGTTCATTTTTGATATCTAAATTTGTCATGATTAGTAATAAATGTATTATTGTGATCAGATATTAGAGTTAATCCTTGTCAGAATTCAGTTTTAGACATCCAAAATGTCTATTTAGATGGGACGAATTTTATTATAGATATCTGGAAGTAACGCTCAATACACATGAATGGGAAGCGTGATGTAATTTGTACAAATAAGAATTACATTTTAAAGTAATACTTTTTTTATTTAAGATTACTGAAGTGTTAATTATGACAGGGAAGACATTTATTGGAGACTTCAGGATTACATATTCAGTCAAGCTAATAAATGTGAAAATGGCCTGCCATAAATGCTGCGCTTTGATCTACAACAAATTAGGACACTTGCACAGAGATTTACGTTAAAACAACGATTACAGCTTTTAGAGGACAGCTCTGCACCCTCTGCGTCTCCTTTTGAACTCAGTGGGTACTTGTGGAAGTGGTTGATGTATTATTTCAGCTTTAGAGATCTTCATGAGCTGCTCCTGGGTGGGTTTAACTAAAAAAGGTTACTCATCATGATAAGTGTCAAAAAATGAAAACAAAAAATATCAGTAAAATTCCTTCCAGTTTCACAGCATTCAACACCAGAGACCGAAAACCCCAGAAAAAAGAAACCATGATCCACAAACAGAGGAGCTTCAGTATAAAGATGAATCAGATTCAAGCTAACAGAGCTAATCTAAGCCTGGTTGTTAGCCTGGTTTGGAGCAGGCTAGCTGCCCATAATAATTCCCCATGGTTAGTGCCCAAATAGCTGGACAATCATTGTGACAGAATGAGCTCCTCTGCTACTTAACACTTTGCCTCCTACTAGGGCTGGGCAATATGGTGCATATCACTACCGCACCGCGCTATTGACCCAGTGCCGGGAACCTTTTGTGAGCGTGTTGAATTGCAATATGCATTTCAATGTACAACCCCATTTCTTCTAATACAACCGCATCTAAAAAAAAAAAAAAAAAAAAGCTTGCCACACACCTCCAGCCCCCCGCCGGGAACCTTGTGTGTTGCTGATGCTTACAAGCTGCTATTCACTGCCATTTATGCTATCTTGGGCACAGCTCGTTCATGTAACTAACCCACCCCCGCTCTCATACTACACTGATGTTAGGGTAATAATGTGTTCTGATAAGCGCCAAATACACATTAGCATAATAGAGTTAATCTCGGGTTTTGCTATGAAACTCACATTGACAAGTTTATTCTCCCCCTCCTGAAAAAACAACAACAACAAAAAACCCCAACAACAGTTGCTGAACACCGGAAATCCGCCACTACGACAGAGAACTTTAAGCCCTTCAGTTCCAAATAGACGATTTTAATCCTTTTTTGAGAACAAACTTCTCATGACGTATGATGCTGTTGCTTGCTAATCTGCAACCTGAGACTAATACTGCAGCTACAGAAACTACAAAATTTACTATCGATTTAATTTTTAAAAATCCCCGACAACAAAAACTTTGAACCAATTAATTGAATCGATTTTTAGCCCAGGCCTACCTCCTACCTTCTCTCACAACCTCCCCTCATCATTGCAGCTGAAGGATCTGCCCTATATCTGCAGAAGAATGTAACCGTAGTACCTGGTAGAATTCTTTTTCAGAGTATCTTTGAATTCAGGCAGTAAAAAAGCTGCAGTTATTAAATTTTTCCTCTCCTTTATCCCCTCAGGTCTTCAGCAGCACCATGCCTGTTAACATTGGGAGGTTCTTGCCAATCAGCTTCTGATCCCTGAACAAAGGCACTAATTTCGGGCACAGAGGACATTAAACATGAAGGAAGTAAAGGAGAAGCAGGAACCAGAACATCAGCCAGATTCTCAAACCACAGTGGAACCAGAACTCCGCGGAGTTAAAGAAGAACAAGTTGAACTGCAAATCTTTGGAACTGAAGGCCAGCTTTCTGTGAAGCAAGAGAAAAGCACATTTGTGGATGTCAAGATATCCCACAATAAACCAGAGATAAAGGACGAACCAGAACCCCGACTGATAGAAGAGGAGGAACCAGAAATTGAACAGTTGCAAGAGGAAGAAGAGGAACTGGAACCTGGACAGTTTAAAGAAGAAGAGGAGGAACTAGAACCTGGGCAGATTAAAGAGGAAGAGGAGGATCTCTACAGTTATGCAGAAAAGCAGGAGCCTAAAAGCTTCTTAATAACTCAAACTCTTGAGCAAAAAGACAACAGTGAAGCAGAACCACACGGAGACCATCTCCTCTCTGCCAGATACCATCAGAATCAACCTCAACAAGGAAACAACCAGAACCATTCTGGGTCAAGCAGAGTCAAAGATCTGAACGACTCTGTAAAGGAAAAACACTCATCCTGTAAAGTTTGTGGTAAAAGTTTCACTCAGCAACGGTACCTGGCAGTTCATAGCAGAATTCACAGTGATGAGAAGCCATATTCTTGTGACACCTGTGGCAAATCTTTCAGGTATACCCACAATTTGACCTGTCACATCAGAACTCACACAGGGGAGAAGCTGTTTTCGTGTAAGATCTGTGGAAAATCTTTCAGGCATAGCTCTAATTTGACCCGTCACATCAGAACTCACACAGGGGAGAAGAAGTTTTCTTGTAAGCTCTGTGGAATTTCTTTCTATTTCAGTGATCAATTAACTACTCACATGAGGATTCACACAGGGGAGAGACCGTATACCTGCAATGTCTGTAGTAAATGTTTCAGTAAGAACTGGCAGTTGATTGATCACATGAGATCCCACAGCGATGAGAAGCCGTATTCATGTGACACGTGTGGTAGATCCTTTAGGTACAGAGGTGATTTGACTCGCCACATTAGAACTCACACAGGGGAGAAGCCGTTTTCTTGTAAACGCTGTGGAAAGTCTTTCACTGACAACAGTCAACTAACTGTTCACAAGAGGACTCACATGGCCGAGAAGCCGTTCCGTTGTTTCATTTGTGGTAAAAGTTTCATACAGAAAGCTAACCTGCTTTATCATATTGGAAATCACACGGGGGAGAGACCATTCCAGTGTGAACGCTGTGATAAATCCTTCAAACGAAGCACTGATCTGGCCTGTCACTTGAGAACCCACACCGGTGAGAGACCATACTCCTGTGAGCTCTGTGGTAGATCTTTCATATATAGCAGTGATCTGACTCGTCACATTCGCTCTCACAAGGGGGAGAAGTCATTCCAGTGTGAACACTGTGATAAATCCTTCATTCACAGTAGTGATCTGACACGTCACGTTAGGATTCACAGTGATGAAAGGCCATATTCTTGTGAACTATGTGATAAATCTTTTAAGCAGAAGGGGGACCTGACTACTCACGTAAAAATTCACACTGGCCAGAAGCCCTTCTCATGTGATACATGTGGACGAAGTTTTAACAGACACTACAACCTGATTTCGCATAAAAGGACCCACACAGGGGAGAAGCCGTTCCTTTGTGGGGTTTGTGGTAAAGGTTTTGTAAAGAATAAATCCCTGGAATATCACATGAAAACACACGGGAGAGAAGTGTTTCAATGTGAACTGTGCGAAAGATCTTTCATCCAAAGCAGTGATCTGGCTCGTCACCTAAAAACTCACACACGTGAGAAGTTGGATCCTTGAGTTTAACAGGATATGTTGGTCGGGAGTAGTGATTTGGAGGTAGTGTGGCAGCAGATTAAAGCTGCTGTTTAAATTGAAGTGGTTCCCTCTGAGAATTTTGACTGTATCCAAATCTCCTACAGGTTATGAACTTTAGCTTTTATGTGTTTGCTGCCACTCTAGGAGTTTGTAAAACCTAAAAAGTGAAGAACCTCTCCTGGATGAGAGGCGACACTTCTTCTAAAAAGCTTCACGTCCAGTTGGCTAAATTAAACCTGACTAGCAAAACCAATGTGGTTTAATATTTTTCATTATTTTTGCCTATGTGGCTTAAAACCTCATCTGTCCTTCACAACCTTAGTGTTCACCCCAAATCTCTGACCGATGACAGCAAGCACACAGAACCCTCCTTTAAATGGGAAAGTCAGCCACACTGGTTGTTTTCATGCATTTCTCATGTAAAATAGCTCGATGGCTCACTGTGGCCTCTTTCCCACTGAGTTTAGCAGGTTAACGCATATTTTTCAATAACAATCGTTATTTGGCTCCCTTCACATTGGCAGAAAAACCGGGTCTGGCCCTCTTGGCAGCTGCGTGTCTGGTCAAACTGTCACGCTTGGTTAGCACGGATGATGTCACTAGTGCGACAAAAGCAGGAAAGCAAACAATGGAGAGCATCATGTAAGAAATCTAGAGTCGTCTGCTTTGTTTTTCACTGTATTATCTGTCCGAATCCCTCTTACCAGTGCTGCGGCATGTTTATGGAATGTAAACTGAGTTATTTTTGATTGTAAGATCAGAAGCGACTGGCCCAGTGTGTTGACGTCTGTACGTTACCCTCATTGGTATCGCATACATTAGGGGCTCTGGTGTTTCCACAGCATGCCGATTAGAGCTGAGGCGATTTTAACATGGGTCGCTTGCCAAGTCGTTTGACCGGGATGGACAGGGTTAAGTGTGTTGTTCCCACCACCACTAAAAGCCGATTGTTTAGGTTTTAAACGGATTTTCCCTCTAAAACCAAAGGGCAGGTGTCCCTTAGAGCTGTGGAACATGTTTATGGAAGTAAATCTGTGTCACTGGGATTTGAATTAAAAATGCCACTGAAATTTAAATGTTGTGTGTTTGTACTTACTGTTTCAGTGTTAAAATATATTCCGAACACATTTTTGACCTAAAAAAAAAATTGTCATTATTTCTACACAGTTGAAATTTAATTTATTTTGTCTTCAAGTTAAAAATTCACATTACTATTTCAAAGTGATTATATTTTCAATACTTATTTTTCAGTTACATTTTTCAGTGTTAAAAAATCTGCATATACAAAAATTCAACCTTTCAAAACTCAAACTCAATATTTTCAGCCTCCTGAGATTCAACTGGCTCTATTTCACCTTCTTAAATTCGGCGTCTAAATTCAGTGTAAAAAAGGAAGGGTTACTTCAGGTCACAGACATTAGCCATGGATTGTGGCGTCCAACACCCAGCCAATCCGGTTATGTTTTCTTAGTCCGTATGAGCGCCACATGCGTCACGTCACATGATTTACTTCCATACATGTTGCCTCCAGCTGAAGACCCATTTATTCAGACAGGATTTTCACTCATTTTCATGTTTGCTGTTTTCTTTCTTTTCTAAAATCATAAAGACATCAAATAAAACTTATTTGATGTCTTTATGATTTTATTGTGCTTTATTAATAAAGTTTGCTTTCTTACTGAATTTCTTTCCATTAAATGTTCATTTTTTTTCTTTTTTGTAAATCATGAAAAATGGAATATACTGTTAGGATCTTGATAACCTGCACTCATATTTTATTTCTAGAGCTTGATTGTTAAAGTAATTAAATATCATCTCTAAGGGTATTTTTAAACATGCAGTTGTTGGTAGATTTAAACGTAGACAAACATAAACTTGGTCCTGTTTGGGTTGGTTGAAATGTCTAATATGCACTAAACTGTGCATATTGGAGATACAAGTGTTGTGTTATAGGTGATGTCTGAAATATATAATAATATATAATTGTTATATTTTATTAACATTGCTGTGCAATGTTTCAGGTTGTTTGGATTCCCCCCCCCCCCCCCCCCCCCCCCCCCTGTTTATTTTAGATGTTCCACAATTGTTTTAGTTTTATCTTATACTTTTGTACTATTTTGGTTGAGGTTCCTAAATACATTTTTGCTTTTATAAATCAAATTGCTTGTTGTTTTTCGAGTAAGCATCACCAATTCATACAGTTTGTCACATCATTAAAAAACAAACAACATATTATGCCCAATACCTTCATTATTGGGCATAATCTGGAACTTTAATTAAATATGACACCGAGCAAAAATATACACCATTAACTGTAATTATATAAAACATATCAAATATGTGCCAGAACTTAAATATTTACAGGTTTTGGCAGGATTTTGTTTAATAAAGGGCTTGTGCATTATCAAATCAGGGCAGCGAGCCTGTCTCCTGTGGCATTCCCAGGTGTTTAATTTGAGTCAGGCAGTTCTTGTAATATGTTGTACCCTGCTACATCCTCATCAGGTTCCAAGATGTCTCCGTTATCCAAACATTATGCAGAAAGGTGCAGGACACTATTCGTTGGTATGCAAATGTCTGCTTGACTTCCACCTAGTTTTCATTATGCTAAAAGCTTATAACCCTGAATAACTGAGCGCCCCTTTGACTGGTGGTAGTTGACCTCCATTGCACTCTGCAATTCACAGGTTCCCTATAGGGAGTGGTTAAGCAGATTGGTGTTTCTGAAGACGGGTATCCTCCATCACCCAGAATGAAGAACCCACTTGGACAATACCTTCTTGCAGTGTATAAAAAGAGCTGCTTTTCAAAATGCAAGTGTCATGTACAGACTTCGAAAGCCCATAAAAATATTGAGTAACTTTCCAGAGGAGGCACAAATTGCCTGCATGGTTATTGAATTGAAACCTATGTAATTAAAATATTCCAGTCTATGAAGTGATGGGGGCTTAATCCGAATGTGGCAACCGTCAATTAGACCAACAGCTTTATAGAGGATGGCTGTCCCAGAAAGTTGACCAAATCCATGACCCACAGTGTCCAGATTGGCTGGGCTTGGAGGATATTACTTAGTTCAAATTGTCCCAAATAAACTTTGCTACCGTGTGGACAATTCTATGGATGGTGGACCTGGGAATGTTAAAAACACATTACACCACACAGTAAGGGGGCAAGCCAGTAAACAGTCATATGAAAAATTTTGGGCAGCCCTATTTATCTTATTTTTACTTCTAAATATGTGTTTGCAACAGCTATTTCAGTTTGATATATCTAATAACTGATGGACACAGTGATATTTCAGTGTTAAATTGAGGTTTATGGGCTTACAGAAAATGTGCCGTACACATTAAAACAAAATTTGACAGGTGCAAAAGTATGGGCAGTTCAGCAAAAAAGAGACATTTATATTCAGTAGATTCTCCTTTTGCAAAAACAGTCACCTCTAGTCACTTCCTGGATGAAGGCATTTTTGACCATTCTTCTTTGCAATACAACTGCAGTTCAGCTAAGTTGATGGTCGCTGAGCATGGACAGCCTGCTTAACATCATCCCACAGATGTTCAACGATATTCAGGTCAGGCGATTGGGATGGCCATTGTTATTGCTCCTCTGCATAAATGCCTGTTTGGTGCAGTTTTGGATCATTGTCTTGCTTGAAATATCCATCCCTGGCATAACTTCAACTTCATAATTGACTCTTGAACATTATTCTCAAGATATTGAGATAAAGATCAGTCTGCTAATATTGAGTGGAATCTATGTGACCCTCAAGTATAACAAGATTCCCAGCACTGGCCGCCCGAAAGCATGATGGAACCTCCACCAAATTTGACAGTGGGTACCAAGTGTTTTTCTTGGAATGCTGTGTTTTTTTTGCCGCCATGCATAACATATTTTTTTTTATGAGCAAACAACTCAATCTTTGTTTCATAAGTTCACAGGACCTTATTCCAAAATAAAGCTGGCTCGTCCAATTGTGCTTTTACTCACTCTTGCTCAGTTAATAAAAAAAACCATCAGCTACCATAACTATGCAGACGACACACAGCTTTACATCACCATGTCACCAGGTGACTATGAACCAATTCAAGCACAGAGGAAATGCTTAGAAGAAATCAATGCCTGAATGTGCCATAATTTTCTTCAACTAAATAAAAACAAAACTGAAGTAATAATCTTTGGACCAATAGAGGAGAGATCTAAAGTTAGCACACAGCTTCGGTCGCTTTAGCTAGTAATCACTGATCAGGCCCGAAATCTAGGTGTAGTAATGGATTCAGACTTAAACCTCCAAAAGCATTTAAAGACAATTACAAGGTCGGCTTTCTATCACCTGAAGAACATTTCCAGGATTAAAGGACTAATGTCTCAGCATGATCTGGAAAAACTAATCCATGCGTTTATTTTTAGTCGAATTTATTACTGCAACAGTGTTTTCACAGGTCTGCCTAAAAAGTGGATCAGACAGCTGCAGCTGATCCAGAACGCTGCTGCCCGTGTCCTCACTAAGACTAAGAAAGCAGAGCACATCACCTCAGTTCTAAAGCCCTTACACTGGCTCCCTGTATCTCAGAGAATAGACTTTAAAATACTTCTATTAGTCTATAAATCTCTGAATGGCTCAGCACCTAAATACATCACAGACTTCCTATCAGTGTATCAACCCTCCAGACCACCCAGGTCTTCTGGCTCCAGCCTGCTCTGCATACCTAGAACCAGAACTAAACATGGAGAAGCAGCATTTAGTTCCTATGCTCCACTTATCTGCAACAAACTTCCAGAAAACTGTAAAAGTGTGAAAAGCCTGAGTTCCTTTAAAGCAACACTAAAAAGACATTTGTTTAGGATTGCCTTCGACTGTTCTAGTTAAACAGTTCAACTGAAACCTCATTAGTTCAACTTTTTATTTTCTTTAGTCCAACTGTTTTTAATATTTTTTTTCTGCATTTTTATTTTATTTTTTCCTACATGTAAAGCACTTTGCATTGTCCTTGTACTGAATTGTGCTATACAAATAAATTTGCCTTGCCTTGCCTTTTACATACCTCAAGCGATTCTGTTTGTGGCGTGCTTGCAGAAAAGGCTTCTGTCGCATCACACTCCCATATAACTTCTCCTGGTGCACTGAATTGTTGAACGATGCACAGTGACCCCATCAGATGATGCTTCAGGTCTTTGGAAGTGGTCTGTGGTTTGTCCTCAACCATTCTCACCATTCTTCTTCCCTGCCTCTCTGATAATTTTCTTGGCTTGCCACTTCTAGGCTTAACAAGAAATGTCCCTGTGATCTTCCATTTTCTTACCATGTTCCTCACAGTGGAAACTGACAGTTTAAATCTCTGAGACAACTTTTTGTATCCTTCCCCTGAACGACTATGTTGGACAATCTTTTTTTCAGATTATTTGAGAGTTGTTTTGAGGTGCCCATGATGGATTTTCAGAGTAGATTCAAACAGGAGGACAACTTGCAACCGGCCACCTTAAATAAGGCTCGGGCACAGCGCGTTGCATTCTGGGTACGCCGCCATATTGGTAGCTAGTTGCTACGGTAAACAAAGACCTAAAACAGCATAGAGACAGAGCAGAAAGACGAGTAAACAGCGATGTCAAAAGCGAAGAAAGGATGCGGAATATACCGAGACACACTGCAGAGGGAAGCCAGGGACCGTTAGCTGCAAAAGATGGGCTTCATAAACGGACTTGATCCCTACGAAGTAGAAAGCAAGGAGTGGTGCGTTGGGGAAGAATTTCTACCACGTTTGCGAGGGAGGACGTATTTTCGTATCTAGTGTGTGGCGTCAGTGCCTACACACATGAAGAGTTTCGCTGCTACAAGTCGCTAGAGGCTTACAAACAGCTGACAGATGGAAAAGTTCATGACATGGAAGTTATCAAGCCGAATGAGAACACAGTCATCAGAGCCAAGGTAAGCTACCGTCTCAACATGGTGTGGTGTTTGTTGTGGTGATAAGACTAGGTGCTGGCTAACCCTCTGGAACACAACCCTACTTCAGCTCATGCTACATGCTACAGATCAGCCAACAACGGTTAACTTGAATAAATGAATAAAAACAGTATGTTCTGTAACTTACCAGAATGAAAATGCCGGGAACACACTCTCATGGACGCAGGGATTGAGTTGAAAGTTATATTTGGCCGTCTTACAGCAGCGACCCATGCTAGCCAGCGACTCTTTGTTATGGAGGACATTTGTTTTCCATTGAGACGCCTCCAGGTTGGAAAACGGTAAAAAGACAATCCATTTGGGATTTTTTTCCCCGTCCAGTCACAGCTTGCGCTACTACACCCTACGACACAGCAACGGGCGACCATAACGACAGCAGAGGTAAAATGAAACGGCAAAAAACTAAGCAAACTACTAGCAGAAGAAAGCTAGTCCTTACAGGCGCGAAGTCAAAGTGTAAACAGTGGGCTGACCAGCTATCAATATGGCTGCCGCGCAACGTGTGACGTCATGTGCCCGAGCCTTATACATTTTCTCATGATTGGGTACACCTGACTACGAAGTTCAGATCTCAATGAACTTACCAAACTGATTGTGTGTTTCAGTAAGTCAGTGTAAAGTAGTTAAGAGTATTCAAATCATTAAAATTATTAGGATACCCACATTATTGCATCTGTCGAGTTTTGTTTTAATGCATATTGCACATTTTCTATTAGTCCAATAAACTTCAATTCAATAGTGAAATATTACTGAGTTCATTAGTTATCAGATATATCAAACTGAAATAACCCAAATATTTTTGAAATAACAATAACAAAGATTAATAGGGGTGGCCGAACTTTTTAATATGACTGTATATCAGAACTGTATATGTTCTCCCTGGTTTCTCTCCATGCCTGGGTTCTCTCCAGGTACTCCGGCTTCCTCCCACAGTCCAAAAACATGACTGTTAGGTTAATTGGCTTCTCTAGATTCTCCTTAGGTGTGAGTGTGTGCGTGAATGAATTGCTGTTAGACCGGCACCCCTCGCGACCCCAATTGGGACAAGCGTATCAGATAATGGATGTATATCAGAAGTTCAAACTGATAGCCCAAGCCATGGTCCTGTTCCCTCTTCAGCAGGCATTGCGGGACATGCATGGCCTTCCTATTTAGTCTGAAGTCCTGGATGAGTTCCAACTCCATTTCAAACCACTAGCGCATGGTACATTCCTGTCCAACCTACAGTACGTTAGTGGATGGCGACTCTGGGACAGAATAGGCAACAAAAAGAACCTTTAAAACATGTTCATAAGCATAGCAAAATATGCATAATAAGAATACATCAGTTTTCTTTTTAAAAGTAGTCATACGTCTGTGGCAGCCAAAGCGCAAGGAGAATAATATTCCTTAACCCTTTATAAGGCACTCAGTGAAATACTTCGAAAATCAAAATTGCAAGCCAAAAGTGTTATTTGCAGGGGCGGAGCTAGATGGGGGGCCCGGGGGTGGGGGGGGGGGGGTGGGGGGGGGGGTGGGGTGGCATGGCCACCCTTAGCCAATCATTGGCCACCCCTACCAATTTTTTCCCCATCTAATACAGACGTATGTAAAACTCCCAAGTGGAATATTAAAAACATTTTCAATTTTCATATATTAACAATTACTTGACAACAATAAGACTGTGGTTAATTATGCACATTAAATGCTCTTTTCAGAACTAGATTTTGTGTTATAGGGGGTAAAGAGAAAATAATGTGTCTCTGCAAGTCAACTAGGAGTCTTCAGTGAAATCATAGAAAAATAATTATTTTATTAAAAAATTAAATAATTAGTTTATGTAAAAATTTGTACTTGTTAATATCAATCTTATGCAGAATAAATGTTGATAAAAGTAGGTAAATAATGACAAAGGAAGAGATGTTTACCCCAGAACCCAAAACTGAAAGAATTTTATTCACTATACCTTTTATCTAGAAATCACAGATGTTTAAATATATGCTTCTATTTGTAGGCAAAGGTTGTAGGAAAATATAGTTTGTCTTTATTTAGAAAATATGGATGTTTTGCTCGTTAATTTTTCTGTTGGAACAGTGTAGATTGACCATGAGGTTCTGGTGCCTATGCGCTTTCGGCCACCCCTCAGTATACATTGCCTGGCCACCCTTATAAAAATGTTATGGCTATGCCTCTGGTTATTTGAATCCAGGAAAAGACCTTATTACCTTTGTAACATTAAAAAATATGGATATTTTGATGGCAGAAATTTATGTCAATGTAGTAACAAAAAACGCAAACTTGCTGAATATATTAAGAAAATAACAAAAGAGCTTCTATAAGAAATTCATGAAAACACTATGAGAGTGAAAGAAACAAATTTTTTTCACCTTAGAGGCATCAATTAAGGTTTATAAACCTGAATATAATTGTTAACTAGGCTTATTAAATTTTTACCTTTTTTCTCAACTTAACTTTTTTTCCAACTTAATTTACAGTAAGTAATATATCAATGGCTCATCTAATTGGTCAAATGCCAAAATAAGATGTACAGGAATGTAGCAGTATCTTTGCTGAATGGCTGGATATAGATCTTGTGCTTCTAGACCTCACTGAGGGAAGGGGGGACTCCATTTGTAATGAGGATGCAAGTGATAAAAATGCTAACTTGCCCTATAAAGGGTTAAAAACAATGCGGTGCGGGACCCAAAGGAATTTTTGATTTTACTTTAGCAGGTTAGCTTTAGGTGTGCGGTGGTTTGTATTCCTTTTGTTTGTGTCATTGTTGGCTTTCTTTCTCCTAGTGTTACATGTTATTGACCCAAAGGCCAGGCGCGGATTCAGGCGGGGGCGCGGGGGGCGCGCGCACCCCCCTTTGGGAGACGTCACGTGACGGTTGAGACACCGCATCGGCATGAATTTGAATTGCAATGGCGCCCCAGGTCGCCCAGGTCTCGCCACGCCACGCGAGACCTGGGCGACGTAATAAAGCGGCGTTGCAACGTGACGTGATTCAGGTGATACCGCAATGGCGTTGAAACGAGCACGAGGAGACCTGGAAGACTTGAAGCCAAACAAGAAGACCAGACAACCATCTCTTTTACGATTCTGGTCCAATCCAACAAAAGGGTAAGTAGAAACAAGCTTTATCACTTTATTTTCTAAAATACAGCAAATCTATATGATTTCTTTGATTCGTAAACAGTGAACATATGTAGCCAGAAAAAAAGCCGACCGAAACTCGGCGGCCGACGACAGGCAAATTAAAAAAGAAGTCCGGCCAATAAGGATCATTTGCTATATTTTAAACGAAAATGTCCGTGGTGATTTCATGAACTTTGCCTTAATCGATAAGGAAATAAAAGCATAAATTGTCGTCTCGATCACTGTGTAAAGAGCAGCCATGTTGCGCGCTACTCATCGACATCACTGTGCGTTGCTACGCAGCCTAGCCACGCACAGAGACGTCACAGGATGAAAAAAAAGTTTGTGGCTTGAAGAGTCTCACTCTACAACCATTGTGCACAGCTCCAACAATTATTTTAGATTTCGGGAGGACTTCGCCATTGAAATTCGCGAGAGCTATTGCTGAAGCAACAGCGACCACGTGCATGGCAGTTGGATGTTCCAATACATCGGGTAAAAGTGAAAAAAAAACAAAACAGTTTTTGCCGTTACATTATCAGGCGGAGGAATATTTCCGCCATTGTCTGTAGTGCGGCAGTTTACAGTGCAGACTTCAAAGAAAAAGAAACACCGAGTTCATTTATTGACCAGTATGTAATAGTTTTATGTTTAAAGTACTTTCAGCAGTTAGAATTCTGATTTTGACCGGGCTTTTCCTTTAACAAGTTTCCCAATGTCGTGCTGTTGTGCTTTGTACAGCGGTTCCTAATCGGTCTCCGCCAGTCACGTGACATTTGTTGCTAAGACGCCAGATCCTTGTTCTTTTCCACAGGTTCATTAAAAAAATCTCTCATTGTTTCACAGTGTCCAAATGTTCTCATCCCATTGAAAACTCTTGTGAACCATATACTTGTAATAAAAATGAAATAGAAAATGGAGTGCACGTGTAATTATTAAAGACTATATGCAGAGGGAAATAATTTTTTCCTGGTTGAAATTTAGTACTTAAATCTATATTTGTGTTTATAGTAACGTACCATTTATCTATGTTGTACTATCCTTAATAAACAGTTTGTGTTCTTTAATCAGCCGTTTTATTTCATCCCATATTGCCAGATTTAAGTACTAAATTTCAACCAGGAAACAATTATTTTCCTTCTGCATATAGTCTTTAATGATTACACGTGCACTCCATTTTCTATTTCATTTTATTACAAGTATATGGTTTACAACAGTTTTCAATGGGATGAGAACATTTGGATACTGTGAAACAATGAGAGATTTTTTTAATGAACCTGTGGAAAAGAACAAGGATCTGTTTGCTTTCAGAGGAAGGAGTAGACACTGCTGTCAGCGACCAGCTTTCAAGCAAACGTTTGTGTTTATTATTAGTTTTAGATCAATATCACTGGCGATATTCTGCTATAACATGTGAGGTAAAGAATAAAACAGTAAAGCTCAACTTTCATACACGTAAAACCTTTAAAAAGCAAGTTCAGAAGTTTTGTGGTGTTGAAGTATTAAATCCAAAGTGGCTTATGTCTATAATCTAAATGGCACAGATTGAAATGTTTATATCTTGTTTTCTATTCTTCAGTGGACCTGGCACAACAACAGAAAAGGACCACAACGTTGACCTGTTTGAATGTGCAGATATTGACGACACACAGATGAAAGGTATGATGATTGCTAGAAAATGTTGATGATGAGTAAACAATATCAACATTGTTGATAAACAATTTGTTTAAAGTTGCAAAGTAATGCAATTGTAGGAATACTTTAACCAGTAACGGGAAAGTTATGAAAATTGCCGTGTTTGATAAGTAATAAAAAGAAAAAGGAAAAAATAAGCAACATTAGTTGCCATTGACATGCATACAAAAGATATTTTTTAGTGTGTATGTTTCGGTCTAAACCTGTACCACATGTGTTGTACTGTTAAAAATAAGAATGGTATCCTTTATGAAAACATTTTTAATTTTGATCAATTGGTAAGGATCCAAATCAATGAATGCTCTAAGCACATGCTTGGAGTCTAAGGGAGTCTTGTTAACATTGTGATATGATAACTACAAATCTGGTGTTATTTGTTTTCAGTGCATTTAACATTTTACAATAAAAATACAATTTACTTTTAAGTATATTCAGTTTTGTGCACCTGGTGATATGTGTTCAGTGAATTTAATAATTTACACTGAAAACACAACATTAACTTGTTTTGTGGCTCCTCCTGAGATTACAAGGTTCACCTGCTCACAAAAACTATTTTCTTTTCCAGATGAACAACAAGGACCGTGTTGGGATGTAAAGACAACTGAAGAGCCGGCACTCAACCACGCGGATTTGCCCCAAAGAACTTACGACATAGGTTAGTAATAGTTGTATTTTTTTCAATGTCAAAACCACTAAATTTGTGTTTGTTTTACAAGTTTGACTTTTTTGCTTAATTTTGAAATCTTACATTTCATAATAATTATTTCATAATAAAGCAGAACTATACAAAAGCTTCATGTAGGCAGATTTACAACTCCACCAGCACCCATACAAAATTGATAATGTAAATATCAATCTTATTACAGATATATCAAAGGCCAAGGACCGGATTGCTGAAATGGACGACTCTGAAAAATTCCAACTTCTTCAGACCAGAAGACCACCCAAATCTTTCACTTTCCCTGCCAGACACTTTAAAGATAACCAAAGAGCCAGTGGGGTGACCAAAAGGACATGCCAGAGGGACTGGCTGGACAAGTATGACTTTTTATCATACTCTGCCCAGGAAGATGGCGTGTACTGTTTGCCATGCATTTTGTTTCCCGTTGAGAGTCAGAGTAGGAGGGCTAGTATTTTGATAGACCTGCCATTTACCAACTGGAGAAAGTTCACTGAACAAATTAATACACACATGCAACTGCAATACCACCAGAGTTCTGATGCAAAGTTTCATGCATTTGTGGATGTAATGAATGGTCAACAAACAAGGATTAACCACATGTTGAATTCTGAGATGGATAAACGTGTTGCTGAAAATAGACTGTTCCTCTCATCAGTTGTGAAATGTATAGAGCTGTGTGGGCGTCAGGGCTTCGCCCTAAGAGGCCACTGAGATGATCCTACATCAGAAAGTCTAAACAAAGGCAACTTTCTTGCACTTCTTAAGTTCAGACAAGAAGCTGGCGATGGCCCACTTAAAAATTACTTGGACTCATGTGGTCAAAATGCAAAATACATTTCTAAAACGTCTCAAAACGATTTGCTTGACTGTATAAAAGAGTATATTCAAAGCACAATTGTGCATGATGTGCTGAGTCAGGATTGGGGGCCATACTATGCTGTAATAGCTGATGAGGTCACTGATGTTTCAAACTGTGAACAACTAGGTGTGTGTATTCGCTACGTGAAAGATGGCATTCCTTTTGAAAGGTTAATAGATTTTGTTGGATGTGATTCCATAACAGGGGAAGCAATATGTAAAAACCTTTTGACCTCTTTAAAGAAAGTTGGCCTAGATCCAAAACTGTGTCGTGCTCAAGGCTATGATGGTGCTGGCAATATGGCAGGAAGAGTAAATGGTTGTGCTGCAAACTTTTGCAAAGAATCCCCATGAGCTAAGTACTTCCACTGTGCGAGTCACCAGTTAAACCTAGCATTATCCAAGTCATCATCTGTTCTGGATATCAAATGTATGCTTTCAACTGTTGCTTCAGTTGGTATTTTTTTCAAGTATTCACCAAAGAGGCAGCAACAGTTTGAGTCTTCGGTGTCTGAGATTAACCAGGAAAGGCTAGCAGCAGGACAAGAACTGTTAGCTAAGAAGAAGTTAAAGCTCATGTGTGAGACTCGTTGGGTTGAGCGTCACACTAGCCTGGAAGACTTTCACAGCCTTTATGAAGCTCTTCTCCATTGTCTTAATGTCATATCGGAGAATGCAGATTCTGTGTGGGATGCCAAAGCAGTAGTTGAAGCAACTGGCCTCCTCAAAGCAGTAACTTCGGCCAACTTTGTTGCCGCTTTACAGTGCAACAGGTACTTCTTTGGATTCACCAAGTCATTAAGTATTCTATTACAAGGGTCATCACAGGATATCCTCACTGCATATGAAGAGGTCAAACTTGTAAAAGACACTCTAAGGGACATAAGATGTGAGGCTGAAGCTGAATTCAAAGAGGTTTACGAATCAATGTTAGAAATGGGGAAACTGGCTGGTTTTGATGGTGACCTCCCAATACCTAGACGTTGTGGACGGCAGACAATGAGAAACAGCAATCCTTCAAATAGCCCTATGCAGTACTGGAGATGTACAGTCTTTGTTCCATTTCTGGACAGTCTCATTTCAGAACTTGACTCGCGCTTCAGTGTTATGTCCGCAGCTGCCGTACTAGGCTTAAAACTGTTGCCAAGCAACCTGCATTTGATGAACACTGAGAGTGAGAAAGACATCTTTACATCATATAAAGATGATCTACCGTCAGGATCAACATTCAGGCAGGAAGTGAAGTTGTGGCGCGCAAAGTGGTCATCATCAGTGGAGAAACCCAGCTCTCTCCCTGAAATTCTAAAGATAACAAATATGAAGTGCTACCCAAACATTTATAGGATTCTTCACCTTCTGTCGGTCATGCCTGTTACCAGTGCTTCTGTGGAACGTGCTAACTCGGGTCTTAAAGCAGTGAAAACTTTGCTGAGGTCCACAATGGGACAGGAAAGGTTTGTGGCTTTGCTACTCTTGTATGTGCACAAGGACATTCGGTTAGACATGAACAAAATCATAGACATATTTGCCCAGAAGCATCCCAGAAGGTTGACATTTGTAAACCCATTATCATCAGCATAAAGCTTGTAGTAGAGAATAATATTTGTCTGGTTTAACTTTGTTTTTTTTGTTTTGTTTTTTTTTCAACTGTTTATTTTGTTAAAATATATTCAAAACTCCTTTGTCATACTTTGTCAAACCCAAGTCCTTGGGTTTTTTTTATTTCATGTTTTCTGTAAATATCATTTCTGTAAATAAAAAAACTCCTTGTCTGATTAATTGTTGATGATTTTTTTCTTAAAACTACCTTTCAACCTTGTGCATGCTTTAAGAACCGAGAGATCCTTTTTTTTTATTACAATAATGTAATTAATAATTATTAATTATTACAATAATAATTCCACTTATGTTCATCCATTAAAATTATCAATTAAAAACTCTTGGATGAATAATTAGGGTAGTGTGAAAGACTGAAGGTATTCTTTGGTCTTTTCGCCTCACATTGTCTTGACCCTTGACCCCGTGACCCCATGGCCCTTAGGTGCGCACCCCCCTTTGAAAAATCCTGGATCCGCCCCTGAAGGCTGTACCATGTGTGGAAAAAATAATACTAATCCTTATTAGTATTATTATTATTTTTTCAAAAGAAACAAGGGAATAGTATGCTAGCCATGAGGCTAACACCGCATCATAACAAATTAGTCCATATACCGTAAACAGATTAATAAGAGCAAGATAGCGGCAGAGCCGTCTTCGGTTTTCAACATTTCTTTTCTGTTGGTTGGCCAAATGGAGATGGCAGATAGTCGCTCACACTGAGCCTGGGTCTGCTGGAGGTTTCTTCCTGTTAAAGATTTAGGGTTAGTTAAAGGAGTTTTCCTCTCCACTGTCACTGCAAGCATGCTTGGTTTCAGGGATTGCTGAAGAGTAAAAATCTACTGTTTCTACCTGCTCATCCAGGAGGAGAGAATCCTGCAAAGTCAGTGATTGGATGCAATCAGCTGGTTCTCTTTCGATAAAAACTTTGACCCTCTAATCTGACTAGATGACCTGATTGTTGTGGATCTATAAAGTGACCTTAGATGACAAGATGTGAAGCATAGAAATTATTGAGTGAATTAACTGAATCGGAAAACAAAATATTTCTCATACTGCTGAATGTTGTTTTATACATGTTTATATCAAACTTGGAAATTAACTCTACAGTGCTACAAAGCTACAGTGTGTAACTTTTAGCGACATCTAGCGGTCAGACCGCAGCAACATGAACATCTCCCCCCCACCGCTTCTCCCCCCCCAACAGTACGGCGTGCGTTACGGGACACAATGTCTTCCACGACGTCCGCATCACCTACCTTCTCAAGTGATGAGGTTTGTTTACATAGATAATTTTACAGATAGTATTTCATTAGTCTGCGTAGGGTATAGATTTCATTTAGACTTAAGATAATAAATATACCCGTTATTTTTTCTACATCGTTGTGACGTTTTGGCGATCTCACAATAACTAGTTTGTTGGCTCTGCGCTGCCGTAGCGCAAAGACCCGCTCCTATGTAGTTATAAATAAAGAATTCTAAGGCAACGCAAATATTAAGGTTAAGAGGCTGAGCTCGTAGATGATGATAAATAACATGTTTATGTATAATATATTACATTTCTGACTGTATATCCCTGTAATTATTACACACTGTAGCTTTAATACATTTGAGCCTTGTCATCTATCAATATTTCTGCTGGATAAACTGAACCATTTTTATCGAACATTTGATTCAAAAATAATAGAACAGGATGAAAGCACAAAACGTGAGAAAGAATGAAAGTTATTTTAACTCAGTAAATAAGATGTTTGTTAATCTGCCTTCAGTTAGGACAATGGATGTATTTTAATTCTCCAAATAAAAACAAATATAAACTGAAGCAATATATTTAAAACATAGAAAGACATATAAGTATATGAAGGTAGATTTGTTTCTTTATTATTTAGAAATAATACATTTGATTAAAACAACTTTTTTGGGAATTGAATGATTAAGACACATGTCCTACCCCCATGTGTGGCCCAAACACAAAATAGATCCCTTCAACCAAAGAGAACATTTTCAACAATAAAAAAAAATGTGTTCAAATGCAGTTTTTTGAGTCTCAAATATTTTATTTGCATTCAAAAACTATTTTCTATGATTGAAAACGTTTATCTTTTCATCGAAGTAACTTTTTTTTTATTGATTCTGTTGTTTGTATGTTTGAAGCAACTTCTTTTTTGATTGAATAATAAAGACACTAATGTCCTACCCATTATATGGTCCAATCAAAAAACAATGTTACTTCAATTAAAAAAAGTTGCTTTAAACAAAAAAGACTGGAGTTCTATCAAATAAAACATTTTCAATCAAAGAAAAGTTCAAATGCATTTTTTTGACTCTCAAATATATCTTTGCATTCAAATACTTTCTTTCATTGAAGTGAAGATTTTTTTTATTGAAAATATATTTTTTGATTGAAGCAACCTTTTATTGATTGAATAATAAAGAAACAAATCTACCTTCATATAAGTACACAACACATTTAGAAATATAAAACACATAAAGCTGCAAGCTTTGTTTGCTGGGTTTAGACTTAACATGAACCCCACTTTGACCCTGAATAGAGTCTCACTTAGCCAGCAGCATGTTTCACAAAACAGTCTAGAAGTCAGAGAGTAAATAAATCCTGCCTCCAAGTTCTTTGCTAAGGAGAAGGTAGTTTTGCTCCCAGCAGAAATAAAATAATAAGTTCAGCTTTCTTTTTTTTTTACTGTACTCAAACAGACTTTGTTTTTAACTGGTACAATACTGGGTGATACTGATATAAGTTACCAGTGTGTTTTAGGTAACGGTTTAACGGTGACTACTTACCACAGCAATCACAGATGCTCTGGAAGAATATACACATTTAGATTCAGCATATTCAGGACAGCAGTAACATAAAGAAGTATTGTTTATTTCAATGAACATCCTGTAGGAACCACATTTATTCATGTTCCTCAGATTTATCAAAACAATGAAAAAAGGACAAAAACAACAGAGTTCATAACAATTCTGATAATTCCGCCCTGTTTGTGGAGTTTTTGATATTGACCCATGACAACGATAAACAATGTGATCACATAGATAAAATCACCAACTTGAGATTTGGAAATAATCCTCTGGAAACAGGAAACTAAAATTAGTTAATTAGAAACATCCGTTACATTTTTCATAAAGTTATAACTCGATACACTATAGTTTGGATAAACAGAGGAGATGGCGAAAAACACAGTAAGGAAAGCTGAACAGACAGTTAATCAGTTTCCATCCAGTAGGCTGCGCAACAGAAAACTTTAATCATTTATTCAGCAGCTGAATATGAACAGCTCCGAATCCTCATTTCAATTCTGGTTAAGTTGGATAAGCAGAGTTTTTTTTTTCATTAAACAGTCTAAACTTCTAGATGATTTCCATTTCTATACAAATTTAACTTTTTATAAACTTTAGATTTTTGATCAGGACCTGTCAGTTAAATCCCATATCAAAGAGGTTTCTAAAATTTTCTTTAGATCTGCTGAATATTGTAAAAAATATAAATATTCTATCCAGGGTCGATGCTGAAAAACAAGTCATTGCATTTGTTAATTCAAGCCTGGACTATTGGTATTCTTTACTATGAGAAAATCCACAAACTGTAGTTAAAAGTTTTCAGCTGATCCAAAATGCTGGAAACAGATTTGAAGTGAAAATTATGAAGAGAGATTTAATTTATTTAATTTCTCCTATCTGAGCTTTTCTTCATGGGCTTCCTATTAAATCCAGAACAGAATTCAAAATACTTCTTATCACATAAAGCCCTAAATAATCAAGCTCTATCTGATATCAGAGATTTGATTGTCCCTTATGTTCCTAACAGAGCACTTTGTTCTCGATCTGCAGGTTAATTAGTGGTTCCTAGAATTGCTAAAAGTAGAATGGGAGGCAGATCTTTTAGTTATCAGTTCAATTCAATTCAGTTTATATTGCACAAATTCACAACATATCATCTCAAGGCACTTTACAGTTCACCAGACCATACAGTCAAATTGATTAAAAGATTTTTTATCTAAGGAAAACCAGTTGATTGCATCGACTCAAAGGCAATCCATCTCTGCTTCTGACTTCTTGAACCCGGCAGCCTCAGCAGATGACCCCTCCTCATTGAGCCTGGTTCTGCTGGAGGCTTCTTCCTGTTAAAAGGTAGTTTTCCTCTCCACTGTAACTATAAGCCTTCCTGGTGTGAGGGATTGCCTTCGAGTCAATGTAAAAAACTTTTGAATCAATTTCACTGTATGATCGTGTTGAATTGTTTCTGCAAAGTGCCTTTAGATGACGTGTTGTGGAATGGCGCTATATACATAAACAGAATTGAACTGAAAAACGGTGCAGCAGGTCAAAAAAAGCTCTCATCCTGGGTCTTGAAGTGTTTCATCATGGTGGTCCCCTTCTTTAGCCTGATATAATCATATTACAGTGTTGTACATAGCCAACGGGTCATTTTATTACCTTTAAGTCACGCTTTAATACCGCTGCAGAAACAGATGGCTGCCCAGCCAATCAGATCGATTCTTCTTCTGTTCTTTCAGTTTTCAGACTGGGCTTCAAAATTAGGAATCCGAGTGATTTAATCTGAACTATTCAAGGAGAAACAAGAGGTTGGAACCAGTTCCAGTCAATTCCTAGAGTCCTCATTCAACCATTAGCCATTTTGGCCTCTAGTCATAAAGAACTGTTCTACTGCTGGAAAACTTCCTGGTTATTGTTTTTACATTTGTGTCTGGTCAGACTGAACTTGACTGTGAATGATTCACCACAGTGTTCACAGGAATACGGTTTCTCGCCTGTATGAATTCTCATGTGAACAGTCAAATTGTTCTGCTTGGTGAAACCTTTTCCACACGTTCCACAGGAGAACGGCTTCTCGCCTGTGTGGGTTCTAATATGACGCGCCAGATCACTACTCTGTCTGAAAGATTTATCACAGAGTTCACAAGAATAGGGCTTCTCCCCGGTGTGAGTTCGAAGGTGACGAGACAGATCACTGCTTTGAATGAAGGATTTATCACACAGCTCACATGGAAAGGGCTTCTCGCCGGTGTGTGTTCTCATGTGATAACTAAGTGTGGTTTTCTGGATGAAACCTTTACCACAGACCAGACAAGTGAAGGGCTTCTCCCCTGTGTGGGTTCGCATGTGGATGGTGAGGTCCGACTGTGCTGTGAACCCTTTCCCACAGGTAAGGCATGGAAAAGGCTTTTCAACCGTGTGAGTTCTCATGTGTTTGATCAGATGACTGCTGTCGGTCAAAGATTTTCCACACACTTCGCAGGAATAGGGCTTCTCCCCTGTGTGGGTTCTCAGGTGAATTGTTAAGTGACTGTTGTCATTAAAGGATTTACCACAAAACTGACAAGAATACGGAGTCTCACCCGTGTGAGTTCTGATGTGACGGACCAAATCATTACTCCGGCGGAAGGATTTATCACACAGCTCACATGGATACGGCTTCTCGCCCGTATGAGTTCTCATGTGGACAGTCAAGTTGTACTGTTTGTTGAAACCTCTCCCACACGTCAGGCAAGAGAAAGGCTTCTCATCTGCAGGACTTTTCATGTCGTTGTCCTGCATGGAGATGGAATCACCAAATTCAAAGACGTAAGGCTGTTCTCCATCCTGAAGGTCACAGAACTGCTGTTCCTCTTTAATCTGGACAGATCCGGGTTCCTGCTTTGTCTCCTTTATCTGCTGCGGTTCTGGTCCACGGTGGAAGGTCTCCTCATTAGCAGCAGGTTTTATAGAGGTGCTGGTCTCCTGCTTCACCATAAGCCGCTCTTCATCCTGAAAGATGCACTGCTCAATCTGTTCTTCTTTGATGACTTCAGGTTCTGGTTCTTCTGTCTCACTCTCAGGTTCTGGTTCTTCCTGTTCCTCTTTTATTCGCACACAGTTTGGAATATCTTGGTCAAGAAGTGAGCTCCTCTGCTTGCTGATGAGGACGTGATCTGCATCGACCTCCCAGGTAATCACTGACATGACGCCGTGGAAGGCCTGGTGGGATGAGAACAGCAGAGCAAGCTTAGCAACAGTTTCATCTGTGACATTAACAACATTTCTGGTACCCTTAGTTTAACCAAAATCAGAAATAACTTCAATCTTGTTGTTGTCACAGTTGAGGCTTCAGGGAGAACTTCAAATTAACACGAGACAAAAAAAGGATCCATGAAAAATCTATTCTATGTTCAGTGATCAAGAAAAGATCACTGTCCCTACCATGAAAAGGGGCTCTGTTATGCTCTGGACTGTTTGCTTAATCTGGAACAGGGAGTGTGAATCTCTGCAGGTACAATGAAATGTCCAGCCTATCAGGGACTGTAGAGTAAAATGTGCTGAAGTGTCAGAACGCTTCTTCTCATTCACAGGTCATGGGTCTTCAAAAGGATAATGGCTCAAAACACACAGATAGAGACACCTGGAGCAGTTTCAGGAGGGGAGCAGAATACCTGCTGAGAGGAGCATAGGTCTGTCTGGCAGGAACAGCACCATTGATTGCAGAGATTGGGTGTGTTTGATTTCAACAGCTGTGTCCTCCAAGCAGGCAAAGAATGGATACCACTGTTCTGGTTGCTAATAACAACATTTTTGAAGATCTGCAGCAGCAGTACCGTTGTCTTATATCATATTTATAGTCTCCAGACTGCAGAGACATTGGAATCTCAGCTTTAATGTTAGCCAAACCCATTTGCATAGGGACAGATAAAATAATATTAATTAATAATAAAATATTTAAATAAACCAAACATTACCCACCACGTATCTGACTCCATAGCTATTTAAAACAAAAATGTTCATTAATTTTAGACGGAACTATTCACAACTTGGATTATATTAAACTGCACTTCTAATATTCACCACTGTTTGGTGACATCTCCCTTTTTCCTCTAAGAACGGAGCAGTCGGCTTGCTTGGAGTCGCAATGAATTAGGGGATACCCAAGGCTACAGAGGATACAGCGGACCTGTCCTTCAAAACGAGGAAAAAGAAGGCTGCATTTTCAGCTGCAGGCCTCGGCGCAGTGCTATGACGTAACTGGCCAACGAATCTGGCCTTTGGAGAACGAAGCTCCTAAATTCAAACTCAGGAATTAATTCTAAAGGCTGGACGACTAAATATGAAGCTGATGGTGAAGCCCACAGTTCTTCCTGGCCACGTCTGAAGATGTTCACCAACCACGGGCAAAACCTAGACGTATCAGCGATCGATCAGACAACAGGGAAACTTTTAGGTTTTGGAAAGCACTGCCCAGACCTCAGCCATTAAACTCAACAGCCCAAAAGCCAAACCGGAGCCCGTGGGCAACTATAATTACACACAGGTTGGCAAGGATGTGTTGGATCAGATGAGTCTGTATTCCATAAAAGCTGTAATTTATGATCTCCTGGACATATCAGCTATAAACTCTGTGGTTTTGTTCAGGAGCTGTTTGAACGTCACCCTCTCATGCAGAGATTTTATCCTTGAGCTGTTAAAACAGTTGCGTACCAACCAGATGCGCTCCAGAGAGCCACATGTTACCAACCCCTTCTACGCAGAAGAGCCAGCTTTGGTGAGGCAAAGAAAACAGTGCCTGGTGCGTCTGCGCTGCCGTTTGTCATAAATGTAAAAAGGGGGTGTGTGGGAAATGTTTGGGAGTAATCAATCATTTCTGTAAATAAATCGTAATTTCAAACTTTGAGCCTGTGTTCATTATACTGATTTTTTTAAAATACATATTTAGATCACAAATATCTAGCCTTTAAAAATATATATTAGACCTGTTTTAAGGTTTACATGTTCACAATGTGGTTATATGGCACATTAGAACCATTTCAGTTCATCACTATTCATGCATTCCATTGGGAAAAATCTCCCCCAACACATTGACGGCCAGTGGGAGATCTAGTAGGATCAGAATTCTGGGAGCTCTATTCTGGTCCGGTCCTTCAGAGCACATTCCAAGTCCGATGCTAAACCACATTGCTGCGCATGTCACAGAATTCAATGACTGTGGAACTAAAAATATAAGGACTAAAACAAACACTTCTATGATCCTGGGTATTGAATCATAAAACATCTTAGAAGTAAGGGGGACAAATGTATTAATCAGTCCTTCTTTTTAATTCAACCTCCCTTAATGGCTAAAGAATCACAAAATCCCAGACAGCCACAGTGCAACAACAGCAGACCAACAGGCTAGTTCTTCAAACTACCGTAAATTCCGGACTATAAGCCGCTACTTTTTTCCCGCTGTTTGAACACTGCGCCCTATAATACAGTGCGGCTAATACATGTTTTTTTTCATGGCGCTGAAGCTGGTCCATTCAGACACAGAGGAAGAGGACTTTGAGGGTTTTAGTGCGCACGTGTAATATCTTTATTTGTAAATATCTCATAAAACGCGGGAAACCTGCGGCTTAAAATCCGGTCCGGCTTATAAAAGCACAACATTGATTTTCTTTCTAAAATTAGAGCGTGCGGCTTGTAATCCGGTGCGCTCTATAATCTGAAATTTACGGTATACATTAAAAAATGCTAAGTTCTAGCTGAGTGCGATTCCTGGACATGAATTAGTAGCCAGAAGTGCCAAACACTAAACATGATCAGTAATACTGAATTCCTCTGAGCAAATAATGCCGTAGCAAGTTAAATGGAAGTGAATGGAAGCCATGTTACTGAATGGCAAAAACATATAAACACACCACTATTTTTTCCAAAGGTGCAGAGATGTAAGAAATTAATAAAGATACAGAAAAATAGAATTAACTTTAACTAGCATACTAGCAGCCTGGTCTTTGCTCTGATTCATGGTCTCTGAAAAATGTGTCTCTGAACAGGGCCACAATTATCATTAAGGGAAACCGAGGTCATGTCCTCTGTATTTTTTTTTTTTTTAAATATTTTGCAATATATATAAACTCTAAAAAAAAAAAAAAATTAGACTGTAACTGACTGTAGGATGATTATCTAGATCTCTCACAAACCTGCAAGGTGTTTTATATTTGAAAAGCCGGGAAAAAGGAGCTTAAGGGTTTGGGTATGTGTGCTGTGCACCATAAACACGCACTGTGGTACGTGTTAATGGTGTGTGCACTATGGTAACTGCCACGCATGGGCTACAGATACCGTTAGTGAGTCCGTAATTCAAGGCAGTAATTGGAATAGGAGCACGTCGGGCTACAAATGGAGGCGGAAAGCAGTTTAAGTTTGTAGATGACTGTGAGAAAAAGTTTCCATGAATAAAGATTTCAGCCCAGCGAGCAACTCAGACAGCAAAGGAACATCGAACCAACGTTTATTTAACTTCGTCGGTACCTGTCGTAAGTTTCCAGCAGTTGAATTAACATTCATTATGAAACTGTTATATTAGCAAAGTATTTGACAAAAAAAAACAAACATTTATTCAGTGTTGATTTGTCATCGTTGGATGTTGAACTGTTTTATATTTCTCCTGGAAGATGGAGCTCAATTCAGCAAGACAGCGCAGAGCATGTGCAGGACCGAAGGTTGTGCACAGAAACAAAATAAAACACTGCTTTAATTTTTTTAAATAATAAATTATCATTGTGGAAATTTTACCTTAATTCAAGAGTCACCATGGTCCTTGTAACGTTATAGACTCCTATATTTATTTATTTTATATAATTGCTTAAATGTGCATATTTTATATTGTTTAATTAATATTCATACTTAAACCTATTTATTACTTTTTTTTACTATTTCACACTTTGACATTGGGCTACTTTGGAGCATAGAAAACTAATTTCATTTCATGTTAACATATTAAAATGAAATTAAAATAAAACTCCTTGAAATATGATGTTGAAATTGCAAATTTTTATCATTTTTGTATTTGACTGTGTTCATATTCTTCACTAAAGGGAAAACAGGACAGGGAGGAAAAGGCTGAGTCATATTTATTTTTATTATTATTTTTATATATATATATATATATATATATATATATATATATATATATATATATATATATATATATATATATATATATATATATATATATATATATATATATATATATATATATATATATATACTCTCCTTTTATCTGGGCACCCATAGGTGGAATTTAGTTGTGCAGCCTGAGAGGAAGCTCTGGGAGTTTGCTAAGTCAATGCAAAATCAAAATGATGTATTAAAACATAAAATCAGACAATCAGGTGGTCCTATGTAACCCGTAGAATGTTCTCATTTTCAGTCAGCGAATTTATTTGGAAATCAGTTGAAAGTTCACCAGATTTAGAGTGTCTAAAGTCATAAAAGTTAGCCTCCACCAGTGTTGCCCAAATGGATGCTTTTCATTTTGATTTTGAGGGTAAAAAGTGGGCAGGTGGAGATAATTTGGGCTGGCTTGGAGTCAGATCTACGGTTTTTGAGTAAACATTAAAACACGTGTTCATCAATCATTCATCATTACTGGTTCATAGCAAAGCCTCCCTGGCCTTTCTCCATACTGATTAGCTAATGTAATCTGCCAGGGTGTTTAAAACACAGATCTAGTGTAGAGGTACCACAAAATATGCTCGTTTTAGCAGCAGGTTGATCAGGTGTGATAAACCTCGCTCTGATGACCGATGCGTTGTGGTGTGCAGAGGAATCTTTTAAAGATGCTGGAGGAAACCGCTGCTTTTGGGATTTAGCGCTTGGTGCAATTAAACTCCTCACCCTATATCAAACGCAACAGTTGAAGAGCTTTTTCACAAGATGCTCTGCTTAAAGGCCAGCCCAGAAATCTCACGGGCCTGCAGACAAGTTTGATGGATGTGAGAACTGGACTAACACGAATGGATGGGCATCAGCAACATCCTGTCCTTCCCACAGTTATTGGAGGGCTTTAATTCAACCACATACGATCACAAATCACAATGGATTGTATTATAGTTCACCGAAAGTATTTCAGATGTTCCAGCAAATAATCTAGAAAGAATTAAAGGTAAAAATTCAAACTGAACCGTAATAAATCTAATTATTGCAGTTATGTAAAAATACAAAACACTTAGCATGTATGTGTGTGCACTGATCATAGTTTATCTTCTAAATGTAAAAAGAGGAGTAGTCCACGTAGTTATGAATCCATCTGCCACCATGTTATTATATTGTAAAAACAAAGTATAATATAATACTATATATATATATATATATATATATATATCCTTCACAAAGACATAGAAACAGTAATACGCCGCACACCCAATAACATTCCACCCAATGTTATGATGACAGAAAAAAAGCCCTGATGTGTAGCAAACACCACAAAACAAAAGATCCTTTAACTTGGTAGCTGCTTCCTTTAAGCTTCCGGTCCATTATTTACTGTGAGCAGAAAAAACCGGCCTGCATTTTGCCTCCCTTAACTGCTTCATATATAAATATGTCACATCGTAACAAACTTAACAATAACTGTGGTGTAAACAGATCACGGACACATCCTGCTTCTTCCTCCGGCCTATTTTCTCTGTGTCCTGCAGTAAACATACCTGAAGCCTTTAAGCTAATGTTCGGTTCCTGGAGAAATAAGTCCCACAGATGGTAAAATGAACCAACAACAACAAAAGCTGCGATATTTAGCTCACAGCGCGACAGGTTTCACATGAAACCTCACAGCTAACTCTGCCGAATGTAACACTTCCGCCGGATGTATTCCATTAAGATTTATACCGGAAACAAAAACAGCCCCAAAGTTCCCCCTTCATAAAAGCTAAGCCGTTATGGTCTGTATTTAAACAGGAGATCCATCTTCTAAATCTTTCCTTGGACAAAATTCAGAAACCAAAAGCAAAAAGTTTGTCATATCACCTCTCTAATTTATTTCAGCCCTCCCTCGATACAAATGCAAGAATAATGCTTATTTTGCTTTTTTTTCTTTGTGTGTGTGTGTGTGTGTGTGTATGTGTATTTTTTTTATTATTTTTATTTATTCATTTATATTTCATTATAATTCTGTTATTCGGCATATGTAATTATAGATATCTTTGGATTTCGATTTTTTTTCTCTCTTTTTCTGAAGTGTATTGCATAAACTAAACATCTGTTTACATCACAACTTGAAAGAAAAGAAAAAAAATATTAGGAAAAGTGTTTGGAGGTATGATTGACTCTATGTTGTGCTTTATTATACTGTATTGTTTGAGTTTGTCATTGTTACTGTTCCAAAAAAAGTTATAAAAAAAAAGTACCCCCTTCATTCTATAAACATTTAAAGGCACTTGCTATTAATGTGTTACGACGGTGTATTACGGCCATTCAAAGCCAAAAAAAAAGAATAAATAAAATAAATTACATTTCAATAGTTGAGTTTTAACGGACATATTTACGAGAATAAACACTGAAATTCACGCGTAAAATCACCCAAATTTCTGAGGGTATAAACATGCAAATTTATGAGATTACGTAAATGCGCATATTTAGCATGCAAATCAACGAGATTGTAAAATATAGAACAAAACTATAAAAGATCTACGAGAAAAGACTTTTTACGACTAAATGTACAACTTAATTCATGTAAACTTACGACATTATAAACATGCAACTTTATTGTATAATTCATTTTAACTTCAACTACTTTACTTTACTTTCATTGTTCCGCAAATGTACATGTTTAAATCTTGCACAATGGCTTCTTTTCTCATACATTTTTCAGTTTTTTCTTAATTTGCTACTTTTTTTCTGATATTTTTACGTTTTAATTTTCTAAATTTGTATGTTTATTTATAGTAAAATTTTCACTTTAAAAGCAAAACATTTAATTCCTTTTTATTAATTTTTTAAATCTTTGAATGTACCTAACATGCTAACGTATATTTTGGTTTCTGATCCTGAAAAATCCAGGCCTCCACTGGTTAATACATTTGATTCCATTGATCATTTTGTTGTCAAAACATTTAAGCTCACACACTGTCACACACTGATTTTGGACCAGAGGGTCGGACTCTCAGTCTCTGCTCAAATTCATGCCACAGCTGTTCAATCGGGTTTAGGGCAGAGTCTGTGAGGACGACGAGGTTCATCGTTGGTTCATCGTTGGCTTGGATGCAGTTGCTCCAGCATGGAAACAGGGGTGTCAGCTGACCCACTACTATACAGGGGCACAATAGGGCACCAAATTCAATTCAATTCAATTCGGTTTATTTACACTACCATTCAAAAGTTTGGGGTCATATTGAAATTTCCTTATTTTTGAAGGAAAAGCACTGTACTTTTCAATGAAGATAACTTTAAACTAGTCTTCACTATAAAGAAATACACTCTATACATGTGGTAAATGACTATTCTAGCTGCAAATGTCTGGTTCTTGGTGTAATATCTAAATAGGTGTATAGAGGCCCATTTCCAGCAACTATCACTCCAGTGTTCTAATGGTACAATGCGTTTGCTCATTGGCTCAGAAGGCTAATTGATTATTAGAAAACCCTTGTGCAATCATGTTCACACATCTGAAAACAGTTTAGCTCGTTACAGAAGCTACAAAACTGACCTTCCTTTGAGCAGATTGAGATTCTGGGGCATCACATTTGTGGGGTCAATTAAACGCTCAAAATGGCCAGAAAAAGAGAACTTTCATCCAAAACTCGACAGTCTATTCTTGTTCTTAGGAATGAAGGCTATTCCATGCGAGAAATTGCTAAGAAATTGAAGACTTCCTACAACGGTGCGTACTACTCCCTTCAGAGGACAGCACAAACAGGCTCTAACCAGAGTAGAAAAAAAAGTGGGAGGCCGCGTTGCACAACTGAGCAGGAAGATAAGTACATTAGAGTCTCTAGTTTGAGAAAGAGATGCCTCACAGGTCCCCAACTGGCATCTTCATTAAATAGTGCCCGCAAAACACGAGTGTCAACATCTACAGTGAAGAGGCGGCTGCGGGATTCTGGGCTTCAGGGCAGAGTGGCAAAGAAAAAGCCATATCTGAGATTGGCCAATAAAAGAAAAAGATCAAGATAGGCAAAAGAACACAGACATTGGACAGAGAAGGACTGGAAAAAAGTGTTGTGGACAGATGAATCCAAGTTTGAGGTGTTTGGATCACAAAGAAGAACGGTTGTAAGACGCAGAACAAATGAAAAGATGGTGGAAGAATGCCTGACGCCATCTGTTAAGCATGGTGGAGGTAATGTGATGGTCTGGGGTCGCTTTGGTGCTGGTAAGGTGGGAGATGTGTACAGGTTGAAAGGGATTCTGAATAAGGAAGGCTATCACTCCATTTTGCAACGCCATGCCATACCCAGTGGACAGCGCTTGACTGGAGCCAATTTCATCCTACAACAGGACAATGACCCTAAACACACCTCCAAATTGTGCAGAACTATTTAGAGCAGAAGCAGGCAGCTGGTATTTTATCGGTAATGGAGTGGCCAGCGCAGTCACCAGATCTGAACCCCATTGAGCTGTTGTGGGAGCAGCTTGACCGTATGGTACGCAAGAAGTGCCCATCCAACCAATCCAACTTGTGGGAGCTGCTTCTGGAAGCGTGGGGTGCAATTTCTCCAGATTACCTCAACAAATTAACAGCTATAATTCCAAAGGTCTGCAATGCTGTAATTGCTGCAAATGGAGGATTCTTTGACAAAAGCAAAGTTTGATGTAAAAAAAAAAATCTTATTTCAAATACAAAAAATTATTTCTAACCTTGTCAATGTCTTGATGTATGGTGGTGAATAAGTGTGAGTTTTCAGGAAAACACAAAATTGTTTTGGTGACCTCAAACTTTTGAACGGTAGTGTACATAGCGCCAATTCACAACACATGTCATCTCAAGGCACTTTACAGTTCACCAGATCATACAGTATATTGATTCAAAGTTTTCTAAGGAAAACCAAATGATTGCATCGACTCATTGACTCAAATGCAATCCCTCACACTAAGCATGCTTCTAGCGACAGTGGAGAGGAAAAACTCCCTTTTAACTGGAAGAAACCTCCAGCAGAACCAGGCTCAGTGTAAGCAGCCATCTGCTGAGGCCGCCTGGAACCCCAGGCGAGACAGAAGCAAGGAGACAGAAGCAGACATACAAAGAGTAACTGTAAAAGTCCAGGAAACACACAGCCAGTCAGACGAGCTCTGAGCCAGCTCCCATGTCAGAGGATGAAGAGAGCAAATCCAGCCAGTCACAGTCAGAGAAACAGGACCACACTGGAAAACAGGCAGATCTCCAACATCAATAAACAAGGGTGTTGATGGCAGCAGCACAGCTGATATTTCTCTCCAGGATGGAGTCACAGCCAAACAGGAAGAGACGAGGCAAAGCTACTATGAGAAAAAGCAGAGAAAGCAGAACGTTAGAGATTGAACTAATAGATTCTGCAGAGTGGGAGAATAGAGATAGAATGAAGCAGAATGATGAAATAGGGGTCCCTATGTCCTCCAGCAGTCTAAGCCTATAGCAGCATAACTATAGAGATAGCTCAGGATAACCTGAGCCACTCTAACTATAAGCTTTATCAAAAAGGAAAGTCTTAAGCCTAGCCTTAAAAGTAGACAGGGTGTCTGCCTCACGGACTAAAACTGGTAGTTGGTTCCACAGGAGAGGAGCCTGATAACTAAAAGATCTGCCTCCCATTCTACTTTTAGAAATTCTAGGAACCACTAGTAAACCTGCAGATTGAGAGCGAAGTGCTCTGTTAGGAACATAAGGAACAATCAGATCTCTGATATAAGATGGAGCTTGGCCATTTAAGGCTTTATATGTGAGAAGGAGGATTTTAAATTCTATTCTGCATTTAATAGGAAGCCAATGAAGAGAAGCCAGGATAGGAGAGATATGATCTCTCTATTTCATTTTCATCATAACTCCCATCATTTTTAATAGGGAAACATCAGGGAAATGTGACTGTGGAGAAGTGAGACAGTGGAACATGTTATTTTGAGTTGTAGGAAATATTTGATTCAGAGAAACAAGTTAATTAGGAAACTCTGTAACATTGTTAATTTACTACAAAAGGAATCAAGAAGCAGAAGATATCAGGTTATATTTAAGTTTTTGAAACAGATTAAATTGTATAATAGGATATAGTTTTTTTATATCGTTTTTTTATAGAAATGTCTGCGTTCTTAGTTAAAAAGGTTCAAGAAGCGATTTGTAAAATAGAAGACTGGTCCTTTAGATGGGGATTCAAGATTTCTGTAGATATAAGAAAGGTTTTGTTTTTTTACAAGGAAATAAGTTTCTGAAGATATAAAGTTAAAAATTTTATAGATATGACTTAGAAAGGGTAAAACATTTTACATTTTTGGGCATATGGTTGGATGAAAGACTTACTTGGAAAGTTCATATTGAAAAGATGATTGATAAATGTAAAAAAGTTCTAAAGGTTATAAGATGTTTGACTGGGAATGAGTGGGGAGCTGAGCGGAAAGCATTGAAATCGATTCATACAGGTTTAAATAGGTCTGTTTTCAGACATACCAAGTCTCCGGGAGTCTCCCTGATTTAGATGTTCAAGGATGCCATCGAGTCGGATAAATTATCCCGGATTTCAGACTATGTGAGGTGGTGTTTTTTCAATGCGAGTCAGAGCGAGCAGGCAGTACAATAATTCATGCATCATGTGTGGATTAGAACTACTTCAATTGCGCAGAGAAGAGAGAGATCGGGTTGTAAGGAGGAGGTTGCTGGTGAAACCTGTGCAGTGTATCTGTGCAAAGCGATGCT